GAAGCAACATGGATCGGAAGAAATAAATTTAACAAAGAAGGTTTCCATCCCATAAAATGGACAGATGGTTTTAAAACCTTAGGTTTGAAATTTAATGCTTTTGAAGACATGGTTAGTTCTAATTTAGAAACATGCATAGAAAAAATGGAATCAATTATCAAATTGTGGAACATCAGAAACCTTTCCTTGATGGGTAAAATTGTTATTCTTAAATCACTTGCAATATCTAAGCTAATTTATGTCATTTCATCTACTCATGTACCAACATCTTCTGTAATTAAAATACAACGTGATATTAACAGTTTTCTATGGAAACATGTTTCCAAAGCATTCTTCCCTCTATTTTATTAAGAGGATTTATTTATTAGCAGATGTGAATTTGAGTTTTTAAATTTAAAAGTACCGCATTTTTTATAAAGATGTGTTATGTAGTAGAGAATTGATAAGAAGTAGGGGATTTTTAATCTGTTAGATGCATTTCATGTGTGAAAAAAATTTATTTGGTCCAATCCTTTTATCAAAGTTGACAGTACGAGTAATTTTACAGATCTTAGTACAAGAAAGGTATACGGTCCATCAATGATAATGGCGAGTTTTTGTCTCATGACGCTATTAACCAAAAAAATAAAATTGTGGAATTTATTTATTTTATTTTGAATATGATTGTATATTTGATGAACTCCAAAGTATTCTTAAGAAAGTATCATATACTGTATATTCACATCGTAGATTTGTAAATTTTTACTATTTCTTAGTCGCATAATAGTAATTATAACAATGTCATTACTTTTATTCACTTAGGTCTTGTAACAATGTATGTACGCACTATAGTTTGAACACCAAAAAGATTAATAAAAACATTTTTAAAAAGAGTACACGGGGAAACACTGTAGATTTTCTATAGAATGTCTATATATTCAGCATTGAAACATCAAAATGATACATAATCCCTAACATACATACATAACACATACAATTAATAATATTCATGGCCCTGTCACAAAATGGTCGGGGCCTAATAGTGTTACCCTTTAATCGCCTTCAAATAATGAGCTGATTTTTAGTATGTGAGTCTACTATGGTAAGTTACAGAAATAGATTACGTTTGGTTCTGCTCCGCTGATTTGTGCCGAAATGACGAAAGCCTTTGAGGGTAAAAAAAAAAAAAATTATCGCGTATATCTCGTAATTACGAGAAAACTATCGCGTAATTACGAGATACTTATCGCGTAATTACGAGATAACTATCACGTCATTACGAGATAATTATCTCGTAATTACGAGATCATCATCGCGTAATTACGAGAAAACTATCGCGTAATTACGAGATAATCATCGCGTAATTACGAGAAAACTATCGCGTAATTACGAGATAATCATTTTTCATCTCGTAATTACGAGATAATTATTTTTATACGCCCGTTTACGGGACGTATTATGGTATACCGTTGTCCGTCTGTCCGTCCGTCGTCAACATGTCGGACATTAACTCAAAAACGCTTTAACTAATTTGCATAAAACTTTGGTGAATTGTTTATGTCTATTGACGTGAGCTCCCTTTCGTTTTTTTTAAATTTTAGATTTAACGTTTCCGAGTTATGGGTTTTTTTGATAAAAAAAGGAGGATTTTCCAGTTTTCGGACAAAAAATAAAAAATGCTTTCAGCAGTTCTTATAAAACTTTGGTGAATTGTTTATATCTATTTATGTAAGCTCCCTTTACATTTTCATAAATTTCTAATATGACATTGAAAATTAATTGAACTTTATTTGTTTATAGTCTGACAACAGATTTACTAAGTATTGCGCAACAGCACAGTGTATTGCACAACGGCAAGAAATCTTTAATTGAATATAAATTCAATTCATATAACCAATTTCAAGTTCTTTGACTACATTTATTCAGAAACCTATAATATGTCAAATATTTAATTACAATCCAAATTCAGACCTGTATCAAGCTTGAATATTGTGTCCATTTTTGGCCAAACTGTTCAGGGTTGGATCTCTGCGGGCGTATCCAGTTGCGCTCAGCGAAGCAGTTTATTTTATCTCGTAATTACGCGATAGTTTTCTCGTAATTACGCGATGATTATCTCGTAATTACGAGATAAAAAAAATTGATTGTAATTACGCGATAATTATCTCGTAATTACGAGATAAAAAACTTCTTATCTCGTAATTACGCGATGATTATCCCGTAATTACGAGATAGTTTTATCGTAATTACGCGATAATTATCTCGTAATTACGCGATAGTTTTCTCGTAATTACGAGTTAAAAAATGATTATCTCGTAATTACGAGTAAAAAAATGATTATCTCGTAATTACGCGATAGTTTTCTCGTAATTACGAGATATTTATCTCGTAATTACGAGATAATTGGTTTTTTTTTGTGACCCTAATAGGCTTTCGTACTAAATTATGGGGTTTGGATTTTTAAAATTTTGTGATATTATTAGCAATCTTGCTGCTATGAGTTTATATTCCTGTATTTTCTAATAAGATAAAAAACAAAATAATAAAACATGAAAAAGATAAGAAATGAAAAAACAAATAATAAATAAGAGTTAAATAACAAATATAAGATATATACCTGCAAAAGCATAGAGTGTATGCTCTACTGGAGGGGGTGTCAGTGATACTTTAATACAAGATTAACATTGAGAAATGTTTTGAATGGAAGATATGAGTAAATAAACTGCACTCAGGATAATTTACTTCACATTTCAGTTTGTAGATAGTTTAAATATACTAGTTTTTGTTGTTATTGTTAAATTCCAATTGGAATATATATTTAGTATTCTTATATAATTCTAAGTGATTATCTGCATTTGACCTAAATAAATAAAAAGGTAGTTAAACAATGTCATGATATCCATAGGTCTAGGATTTTTCAGACGAACTAAAGATTCAAAACAATGGAAATTGCACGCGCTTAAAAGAGGGTAGGAATGCCCTTTACCGCTAGGCGTCAAACGGTCATTTTCGGCTACCGTTAGCGCCAAATTCGTTAAATTTTTATCTTGATTCGTCAAAATATCCTTATCGTGATTCGTCGAAGGTCTCAAATAATTAACCTTTACCGTTGGAAAGAATTTAACGTGATTCGTCAAAATCATTCGATTATTTATTCTTAAAGAAAGTGTACATTTTATCGTCATGCACCAAAAATTACCGTTTGGCAAGATTTTTTTACCGTTATTTGTCATGAAGGTACCCCCCCTTACGACCCTAATAAAACGTAAAGTGACTAGTTGTACCGAAAGAGTTAAGACACTTTCTTCTATGAATGTATCACCCGTCACTTTATTCCAAAGTTAGATACTGTAGTATGTGTCAAGGTCAGGAATATATTCAAAACTTGGAATAGCAGCTATTTGGAATTAGTGACCAGGTTGATCCATGACATAGTTAAAATGTCACTAGTAATTTAAGAAATAATTACTGCATGTATTTAATAGATGTCTTGACTTTTCTGCTTTCTGTTTTATGTTTTATTAGAAATTTTGCAATACTTTGAATTGTTCAAAAGCTAAGGATTTTCTACCACAGGAATTGTGGGTCCTCAATGCTCTTCAACTTTGTACTTTATTTGGTCTTTTATTTTATTTTATTTCAGGATTCGGATGAGTCTATAGTAGTAGAAACGCATGTCTGACGTACAAAATGATAGCCTTTTATCCTGCAATCAGGCCTCTATTGCACAAATAACAGGTACACAAATAAATTTTTGCCTGTTACCCGCTTCCTTGTTGAGCAAGCGGTAATATGAATATTTCTTTCTGGGTAACAGTTCATTTTGGGGTCCTCTTTGCGGTCCGCGTTTAAACTATGTCGATTTTTTTTTTGAAAAATCAGAGACAATGATTGGGAATTAAACAACTAAAGCTCAAGTGCCGGGTGTTGGTTGCAGGATAAAAACAATATATGTACATTGTCGGAAATATTACAAGCTTTCTATAAATTATACCTGAACAATAATTAATTTTCTGTTCTATCTGCAATGTTAGCGAAAATGCATCACTGAATAAACTTTTCCCGCCATATTATGACGCTTTCTAATACCGGACACAGTACTTGCATGCACTAGGGTATCTATGCTCTACTGGTCTTCTGGGTTTGCTGTTGGGTTTATATTTTATATGTACTTTGGTTGCAAGAGCATATTAGAAAAAAAATCTGAAATTTGTAACGCTTATCTGCATTTTTTCGTGAGTAACTTTTTTTGTTTAAAAAATTAATTATTTCATACATAATCTAGAAAATTAAGAACAACACAAAAAATGAGACAGCAGTCATGCGTTGCACGTGTTTTTTCTCGGGACAAACAATTTTTTTTTCTCGAATTTAAATAAAAATAGAACAAAGAGCACCAACAAGAATTTGTTTTCAAACTAAAATAACACACCCTCCCTAATTTTGAATTGAAACAAACTATTTTGTTCACTTCCCTTCTGAAATCTTCTTTTTTTCCTTTAATAATTTAATATAAAACAATCTTCTTAAAAAAACATGCCCCCCTCCCCAACAAAATATGAATGGTCGCAGCATATACTACATTAGATTATTTATGAATACAAAGCTTGGATTATATTGCGTTACTATTGTATGTCTGTGTTTGCTACAGCTTTATCATAGTGTTCTGTGTTTACTACCCTTATTCTGACTCTACTAGTATGTCATGTTTTGCTAAAGCTAATGTTTGCTTCTGCAATACAGTTTATCCATTCAACAGACGAATCTACGAAAGACAAACGAGTTTTATTTAGCACTGACAATATTACATAAACGATTGACAGAACAAAATTTGAAATCATTGAACCAGATAGTAGTTATATTTCTCAATTACTTAAAATGGCGCATTTCTATTTAAAATTAATGTTACGTAAAATTATATGTTAACCTTTTACGTACATAGAACATATCAGCTGAAATAAATGTATTGAACTTAAACTTTCTAATATCAATTGTTTAAAAAGAGAAATACTTATCAATTGTAAATATTTAAACTGTTTCAATATTTGTAGCCAAAAGTTATAGATTTCACCGTAGCTGGCTGTCAATATCGTATTTTAATTTCTTTTGAATTGACTGTGTAGATATTTAAAATTCTTTTTGAAATTTTATGTATATTTATCAACCGAGTGTATTAATATGGTAAAAGGATTGTAGAAGTTGATAACTTTCATTTAAAAGATATATGTCAACATGTTTTGACAGGGTGTCAATAAATGAATCTTGACGGGAATGACTTTGAGATTATTTACTTTTTTACATACCTTGACAATTCATCAATATTGAATTGGTGATAATGTGTAGCACAAGTGTTCAATATCTGAAAGTGAAAAGGTAAAGCTGAAGTTTCGAAGCTTCAAGTGAGTACGTTTTAATCTATATTTACAATACTGTGATTCTGTGTTCATTCTCTCATTTACATGTTAGACTAGACTAGTCACATAATTATTTACATTATAACTGACCAATACAGTTACAAACATTGTAAAAAGTGAAATGAAAAAAAAACATGACTCTTTATTTCAGGAAATTGAAACATGAAAACAAATGATCGGATACGACCGTAGCAAGTATCTAAGTATCTTATAAAGGGAGACATTATCATTAGTAAATATTTATAGTATTATCATTTTTGTTGTTCTGGTGTTGATTATGATGATGATGATATGGACATCACCCCTGGTCTTTGATGGGGTTCGTGTTGCTCAGTCTATAGTTTTCTATGTTGTGTTTTGTGTATACTGTTGTTATTCTTTTCGTCGTTTTTTTTTCTTGCCACGGCATTGTCAGTTTGTTTTCGACTTATGAGTTTGAATAACCCTTTGGTATCTTTTGCTTCTCTCTTAAGGATCGTTCTATTTTGTTTGATGTTCAGAATTTCCCCTATAATCGCTCAGTAATATTCTTACTTTTACTTAATTTAGTATCTAATAAAAGATACCAAAACCCACTATGTGAAATCAAATGGATAATACACGAATACAAATGTATGACATATCAAAAGGATTAAAACACGTGCAATATTCACAAATGAAATATAGTATGTACAAATAAAATACAAAACATCCCTTCTTTTCTAAGGAAACAAATACTTCGTAAACAATATAAAACTCTAACGAAAATGGAAGTGATATCAGGTGCTCCGGAAGAGTTAGCTTATTCTTCTTCGAATCTGACATACGTCGTAATATACAGTGAACAAAGACGACACGGATCAAAATCGGTATAAGATAGGTGTCTAATTCTGCTATAATGAATATTTCTATTAATGCTTTTAATTTTTGGGTAATGCAGATATTGCTGTTATTCCTATCTTATTTAACTGTTCACGTTTTTCAGAACGTTGGTGATTATAAATTCAAAATGAAGAGGAACCAAATAAAAAAGCCATTTTATGATATGAAAGTAACTTTTTCAAGACTTGATGAGATAACCTCAAAGACACGTGCACGTGCAAACAGGGTTAATATGCTAGAAGAAGCACGACTTCAAACAATGCAGAAAATAATTGAAAAGGAGGAAAGATTTAAAAACAATATTCTTGACCGCATGTTAACTCGATCAGACCGCTCTCACAAACGATTAAAAGGTTATGAAAGTGTTTTGAACGATCAATACAGAGCGAAAGAATTTGACACACTTAAGAAGAGAGGATATAAACGACCTTGGGTACAGTCCCCTAAAGCTGCAAGACATTTCGCTCAGGAAATTAGAATTTATCATGGCGGGTACGATCGAAGAAACTTTGAAAAGGAAATAGAAAGAAAAATAAGACAAGTTGACCCAACCAGAGTACAAAAAATCTTACGTAAGGTTCTAACTGAACAAAGTCAAACAAAATCTAATTTCATTGCGGATAGAAATTTGGAAACTACAGAGTTTTATGAAGCTTTTAAACAAAAAATGAACCCCAAAATACGTGTAGACAGACATGGTAAACATATAACTGTGGACATGCGAGAAAGTAATTTACAATCGAGACACACAACAGAATAGTAGGATTGCTATCTTCATTGTACATAAATGTTAAATATTGTTACGCAGTATTGCAATTTAAAACATGTATCAAGAAATATCATAAAAAACTGTTATCATTTCATCGAAATAAGCTTCAAACGTACAATTTCTTTTGACGTACAACATATTTGATAGCCCATATGTTAGTCCCAGATGGATATAATGTTTACTTTAAATTACAAGAATTAAACATATTTCTACATCAGTCTCTTTTCTCGTGCGTCTCCCCTTGTCGCCATTCATAACGTGTTTATGTAATAATGTAGTGTTCAAAGAAAGGGAGAAACGATACAATCCTTAAATATTGTCTTCAAATCTCACTTTAACTTTTCATGACTCATGTCGATTGAATGTTGACCTCTGTTTTAAAACTATGCTGAACGTTTATGACCATTTACTCACCAACTATCTTGACATTGTATGTATACTAGCTTAATGTACATCGACTGATATGCCGTGATTGTTGGAAATATACTTTTTAAAGAAAGCTGTAATAAATGAGATATACACAGACTTTAAATTACCTATAATTATAAGATAACCTCTTTAATTGCTCTTTAGAAGCCCATATGATAGTTTAATGTCCTCTCACTAAATAATTCAAAGTTTGGTGACTACGTTGAACGCATATATCCCATCAAACTTGAAATAAAGGATACACCCGATACAGTTAAGTCTGCCTCATATCTTGACTTACATCTAGATATTGACAATGATGGTCGGTTGAGAACAAAACTTTAGGACAAAAGAGATGATTTCAGCTTCCCAATTGTGAACTTTCTATTTCTCTGTATCAACATTCCAGCAGCGCCTGCATATGGCGTATATGTCTCCCAGTTGATACGATATTCCAGGGCTTACGTTTCCTATAATGATTTCCTTGATAGAGGGTTGCTGCTCACAAGGAAGCTATTATATCAAGATTTCCAAGTGTTGGAGCTGAAATCATCTCTCCGAAAATTTTACGGACGCCATCACGAGTTGGTTAACCGTTATGGAATATCTCTTTCACAGATGACGACGGATATGTTCCAATTGTCGTAACCACAATCTTCATTTTCCCCGAATGGGACATACCGATTTAGTCTAATCACCGGGTTTGTACTTACATGAAATCACTAAGGGTGCCACAGTGGGAGCAGTATCTGCTTGCCCTTCTGGAGCACCTGAGATCTCCCCCGGTTTTTGATTGGGTTTGTGTTGCTCAGTCTTTAGTTTGCCATGTTGTGTTTTACATACAGTTGCTAGTCTTTTTGGTCTTTTTAAGTTTTTTGCCATGGCGTTGTCAGTTTACTTTCGATTTATGAGTTTGAAAATCCTTTTGGTATCTTTCGCCTCTTTTTAACTTTATATAAATATATGAAAAGTCTCCGAGAACAGGAGTACATTTCCACCATGGGAATGCTGATTCTCTAGTAGGAAATACGGTGCAAATTTAAGTTATAATATAAGTTGTAAAAGAAAAGAAACGTTAGCAAATTCCTGGTGTCTAATTTTAGTGTGTTATGAGCAGGTTAGTTTTTTTACAAAGTAAGATTATTGCCTGCATAAAGTTACTTTAATGCATTTGTGCATAATACATGTTGGTATTTTCTCATGAAAAAAATAACATATTTCTTTTATTCTGTCTTTTGATTTGGAATATGAATAGTTGTGTAAAACGCAAGAGGTCAAATGCTTAATGTTGTTAGTGAGGAAAAGGATAGTGATCGCAAATCTGATTTGCATCATCCCTGGAATAGCTAACATTCAAAAATATTATCTCCGGTTTTTTAGTGGATTCGTTTTGCTACAATATTTCTGTGTAGTGTTTTGTGGACTTTTTTTACCATGGTATCGTCTGTCCTTATATTTATGGTTTTTTGTATCCCTTTTGGTATCTTCTTCCTCTTTTCATTTATGAGCTGGTTTGGATCGAAAATGGATATCCTTAACATCTAACCAATTGCTATATATAGAATTTCTTTTCCCTTATTGTGGTCATGGTATTTTACCTTTGGTAGTCTATAAAAGTTGTGAATAGATTTAACAGAACCCCTCTAAAATCTGCAATCAACACCAAATTATCCAAATAAAGAAAAACATTAAGATATGACATACGACAAGTTCTGACGAGGTTCCTGACTTGGGACAGACATATCAAAATTTGGGAAGGAGTGGGGGGTAAACTTATTTTGTGAGATCTTAACCCTCCCTCTTCTTTAATACCGATCAGTAGATTAACAAAAAATACACAACAGAACCAGCACAGGAAATGCACTGATGGACTCCTAAATAAAGGTACAATAAAATGTCTACATTATTGATGCCTTTATAAGCATATTTCTGTTGGTAAATCTAGACTTTGAGGCATCCTGATGAATAACCAAAAGCATTTCCATTGATTAATGAGATTAATACCTTGTAAACGGTAAGAGCGAGCCTACACTGTAAAACCAAATATTACAGCGTTGTATATTTGGTACCTAGTTATATACGACATCTTTTTGAACATCCCTCCGTGCATGCCTTAGCTTACTCCGTCAATAAGAGGGGTTCAAAGGGAAGTTTTTCCATGCATGATATTTTCAACTGAACCAAACTACAATTTACTAAAGCTGTAAAGTGTTAGCTTCTAACTAATGCCGGATATCCTGACTTGGAACAGGAACAACAACATATTTGGTTGAAAAGGTATATAGATATCCAAAAGTCCCCGTCCTGTCGATATTGTGTAACAGATATCCAACCTAATATATTTTCTTTCTAAATTTGTTGCCACCCAAATGTTGACTAGGGTATAGAAATATGACCATCTACACCTCTCCCGTCTGGCTGAAAAAACCCATGCAAAAGATTTTCGTCAGTTTGGCTTTGACTTCATGTATTACTCGCAGTTACTGAAAGATTGTTCAAACCCTAGTTCTAACTTATAAATAAACCATATCTATTTGGAAGACTGTTTTCAATATTAATATCGAAAAAAAAAACAGATGAGTAATTAACACAATTACTCCTGGACATTTTTTGCAAATATGAAAAAGGGAGTTTTGAGGGTATAAGTCAATTCAATGAGTCAGCAACAGAACGACAAAAAAAAAAAACACAAGAATCTTTAAAACTAGACAAGTGTCTATACAAATTACCAGACTTCTCACAAACGAAATCAAAGTTACTCAATTTTATTACGACACAACATATAATAACAAGACATACAAACAAATATATTTCATAGAACAGGATAAAGAATTTAACTGGCAGTCACACCAAAATTGTTAGAAGCAAATAAGCGACAAGCCATTAGAAATAAATATAATGAAGCCAAACAGATTCACTACACATTTGAGCTAGCCACAGTTAAATATGCACTACTAAATACATAAAATAAAAATTAATTAAAACAATTGTTAGCGGCGGGTGGGAGGGTAAATAATTTTTTCAACAATAAATTTCAAATGTGCCCGAATCCTGAAACAAAGAAATATATATGAGCGTCCTGTATCCAGGTAACATGCTAAACAATCAAAATAAAGAATACTCGGAATAATTTCTTCCATGTAATATGTAAACACTGATCCACGTGGTAATTTTCAATTTTTTAAAACTAAAAAATTTCACATTAATTATAATTGTGTCAAGCTCTTACTGTCAAAGATCCTCTATTAACACAAAATTCCCTAAACGACAAAAAAATCAGTTCTAAAAATATCACGAAAGACAACCACTAACAAGGTTCCTGACTTGTAACGGGTACAACAACATTCATATAGTGGGGTTATGTACAGTGGTATCATCACGCCCGCATTTCATAGGAAAATATTTTGTTTGCATCGAAACGTAAATAAATATTGTCTCTTTACGTTCGGCGAATATATTAAACCCCCCCCCCCCCCCCCCCGCAAACACAACCCCCCACCCCATCCCTCCATTTTTCCCTTTTTTTCCCTCTTTCCACTTTCCATCAGCTCTTGATTCGCCTTGATATGTATAAAAGGTGATTTACTATTCCCGAATGTACTATGTCAAGACTGTTGAGACAAGGAATTTTCTCTAGACAGACACACTGTTTATGTATAAACTTTATCGTCAAATCAGAGATATCTTAGTCCTGCAGGTTAGACAAGAGGGTGGTATACCCTATTTATAAATGATAATATATATTGGTTTTGAGAATCAACAAATTAAACGAGCGTGTTTCCTATTTTACCTGCTTTATAACCACCTTTTACGAAAAGTCCATCTTAATTGCTAAAAGAAACTGTTAGTATTAATGACTTCTTACGTTTATTACTGATTTTTCCATAGAGTTACATAATTTAATGATCAAAAACATTTTTACTTTTGACAAGAGATTAAACAGTTGTATATCAAAATACCCGGTACTATATATGAATAAAGGCTTTTAAGTACTCGATATATTATGGTGATAGAAAAACTGTCGTTGCTTAATTAACAGTGCCCAATATTCAAGGACATAGTTAGAACACAGTAAACAACAAAACTTGTATGAACTTGTGTATAACTTTGGTGTCAAATTATTGAAAGTACAATACAATACAATATCTTTATTCTCATAACAATTGCAGATACATAGGTACAGAGAGAGAGTGCACAATATGTACAGGGATATGCATCTATTTACAAACATTCATATACAATACAGTGGATTCAAAATACTATACATATACAATACAGTGGATTCAAAATACTATACATTTAAGCCAGGAGGACCCACATGTTTGTCTTCACACTTTATGAACTTGCATAATCTTTTTAGCTTTGACTTTTTGTTTAATTTGCTCATCAATTTTCTAAACTTTAATGTATTTACACGAGCCAAATAATATTTTTCGAAGTATAATTTTCTACTGTCATTAAAAAAATGCACATTCTAGCAGATAATGAAATTCGACATTTTCTATCACTTTTATCAACATCAATCTACCTCCCTGTTTCTATTGGGAGTCTGTGGTTTGTGGTTCTATATTTATATAAGATAATACTTTCGTGCAGATCCAAGATCTCAAAATATTTTCAAAATTCAATTCTAACTTCAAAATTCTGTAAATAACTACTTTTGAAGACTCTTGTAATTGTGTATTCCAGTACTGTTTGAATTGGTCTTGTTATCGCAGCTGTAGTGCATTTTTTAACCATATATCGTTACCAAAACCTTGAGTAATCCAAATATTTGAAAAACCACATTCTTCTAATATATTTTTAACCTTACTTACAAAAAATGTACATACATCATTAACAGTAAATAGTGTTTTAATAGTGTATATGCAATAGAAGATAACTCAGTGTCTTTAGCAGATACTAATTTACACCAATAAGATACTATCTTTAATTCAATATCAATGTCCAAAGGATATATATACCAAGTTCCCCATATACCATATAGCTAGGTGTGGAATTTTTTAGTTTCAAAGGAAGTTTACAGAATTCCAGATGGATTTTTTCTACAATATCAATATCACCATGCCCCCAAATTTCACAACCATACAGTAGTATAGGTTGCACGACTTTATCGAAAAGATCTAAGTGACACTGAATGGAAAGATTATGCATGCGGTCCAATTACAACATATTAAACATAGCTTTTGTGGCCTTTTCTGCTTGGTGCTTCTGTGCTATTTTAGAATTTTCAGTTCTAGATGATAATATGCCCAAATAGTTAAATTCTTTAACAAGTTCAATGTCAGTGCCGTCTATATTAAAATGTAACGGAATTCTACCTCTAGAAAAAAATCACCATTTAAGTTTTTATGACGTTAACTTTAAGCTTCCAAACATTACAGTATTCACTAAAAGAATCCAGCTGTTTCTGTAAATCATCAGCACTTTCTGCCAGTAGTACTGTGTCGTCTGCATAAAGGGTAACAAACAGTTTTAAATAAATTTGAAGCTTGGAATCAATTTCTTCGGAAATACTCTCAAGCCTCCCGTAGGCTTTTTTCTTCCAAAAAGTGTTCTAGGTCGTTTAAGTATAATGCAAATAATATAGGGGACAAGTTTTCGCCTTGACGGACACCTTTGTTACAAATAAAATAGTCTGAAACATTACTATTATATACAATATTTGATTTAATATTTTCATATAAATGAATACATTTTCCCATTTATATGCTGAGTTAGCAACTTAAACCAGAGTTTATCACGCCAAAATGTATCAAAAGCTCTTTCGAAATCCGGTATAAAGGCTACAAATAACTTTTTTTCTTTTGTTTCAAATATCAAAAAAAGCTGACAATGTAAATAAATTGTCTGTTGTACTGTATCCAGATCTAAAACCACACTGACTTTCATTTAAAATATCAAAATTTTCGACAAATGTCTTAATTCTTTCATTCAAAAGTGCGGAGAATAATTTACAGCTGATAATAGTAATCGGACTAAAATTTTTGGGATTATATCTATCTCCCTTGTTTTTGTATACAGGTTTTATATTGCCAATCAACCATTTGCTAGGTATTATACCTGTGTCAAATATCATGTTTAACACCTTTCCATAAAATGGTATACATACATCAACAGTAGATTTTATATACCCATTTATAACTCTATCTTCACCACATGCTTTATTATTTTTCATTTTTCTAATGCACAATATTATTTCGTCCCTTGTAATAGGGAGATGTATATCATTATTATTTTCCCCATGTTGGTCTGGGTCAATACCTGGCAAATCTGTGGCAGCTGTCTCAACATCATCTAGTCCTTTACAAAAATCAAACAAAGACTCTATAGGTATATCAGGTTGTTGTTTTCTTTTCCCCTGATTTAAAAGTTTCCCAAATTCTCCTGGATTTTTCGATTTTGAATTTTTCATTTCTTTCATCATTTTTTTTTCTATGTAATTTAATATTTTTTTTATCTAAAGTTTGTTTGTATTTTTTTTTTCAGTAAGATGTAAGTTCTGCTTTTGTTGAACAGAAGATTTTCAAGGTAGAAATTTTTCTTTAGTTTCCTATAATGTTGCCAGGCAAATCTACACTCCTCATCAAACCAAGGGTTTCTCGTGATTTTATTTTCTTTCGTTTCTTTGGTTTGAAAATACCAAACGTATTTCTAGCTGACTCTAGCATAATTTTACAAACATCATCAAAATTCGTATCAACCTTCAATTGGTCAATATTATCACTTGATTTTAGATTTAGACTTCCAAAAATCACGTCTTTTCTTTCTTGTGGAATATTTCCTCTGAATTACAATCAAGTACTTTTACTATAATTATTAATAGACTAAACTAACTCTGTTGAATCATTTATGGTATATTAACCCTTTTGTTTAAAAGTAATGACGCTTGTCTATAGTCATTTGGTTAACATATATGATATGATATGTTTATATTGGATAACACTTAAAAGGTACATGTAAGTATGGCTAAAGTTCACTGTTTGAACCACTACAACTATTCAGTTGATTATTTATGATATGTAAGTATCTTATTTAAAGTGATTAAGATATGTTTACGGTCTATGTTTTGTTTGTCAAAATTGCTTTTAGAAAAAAGTATCTTATACATTTTGAATGACTAGCTTAAGCTAACACACAATATATAAATTGACATTTATATATACTTTTACTTAAACACTTTCCAATGAGAAATGAACACTATGCGAACTGATATTTTTTTAGTGTATGCGTCAGACAATTATCAATATAACTTAAAGTACCAGTACATTATTTCAGTTTGGTGTACTTTAGACGATATTTTTGTAATGAGAACATGGGCTGCCAGCTAATAACTGACTTGGTATTGTGCATATACATGTAACGTGTACCTTTTGTTCCTACAGCTCAATGAAAGGATTAGGAGATGTCATTAATTCTATTTTAGTATCTGTTTCCCAATTATACATAATATTTTATTTATGAGCATCTAATTTTTAAAACTACACAGATAAGATTAGTGATAATATATCATTTGTTCATTTCACATACTAATATATATACGTGTACATAAAAATATGTTTGTATACATGTAAAACGATTATTAGAGGTACCTTAATTTTTAGGACGTCCTGAACCTTTAACTACTAAACAAAGCTTTCCTTTTTTGTATAATTTTTACAATAAATCCCCTTATTCAAGTATGATTTTTTTTCAATTATCTCTTTTGTTTACAGGGTGATATCCTTTATATAATTTATGAAAACAAATTAATATATTGATATTCATGCAGAATGGGATGTTCTAATACAAAAGTTGAAGCTACTTCTCCCGTTCGGAAAATAAAAGGTAGATATAAAGTACTGTTCAGAGATTTGCTCAATACAAAATAATTTGTACCTTCTTATTCTTCCCTTAGTCGTATTCATATTGCCAGCGTGTACGTTTACGTGTTGGTCTTTTGTTTAAACGTGCAGTAGTTTTTGTCAGTAATTGTAAGATAGTCTTTTATTAGTGTACCTAGACTACAATACACCTTATCGCTATTCCCGCTTGACCCGAGAATCTGTCCCGCTCGAACTTTTGACGTCACACAACAATCACTTTTCCATTGTGGCGTCAGATATTTTCTATTATGACGTCAAAATTTTACGGGAACTTGTGTGATGTCCAGTAATGGCGGACAAATAGCGATAAGGTGTATTGGATGAAAATACAGATCATGTTACCAAGCTTTGCTTATTATCTTATGCATATCATTGGATTTAGGGCCTGGTTTTAAAAAGTCGCAACACCTTTGAAACTGCAAAATAGCATAAATCCATGTAGTACGCAATATGTGTATTGCCTTTTCGATATTTTTTGGTTATTTTTGTTGTTGGGGTTAAATTGCAGTCTATTTGACGTATACCTGTCTTCCCTTTTGATCTCACTATAGCAATAAAACCAAATATCAATGAAACAAATTCATCATTTGAAAAGTACAACTATAATATGGTTTATGTACGGAAGCGTGTATTTCTATTTGTATTTTATCAATTTTTTTTATTTAGATGCAAGAAAAAATTTAATATGCGTTGCAAATTCGGAAGTCGGGTATATGAATTAGTGTTTATGATCATAATTGGTCTTATTTTTCAGAACATAAACCTGGATCTGGAAATAAGCCTATTATTACATTGCCCCTCTCTTTTTATGTAACCTTGAGAGAACGATTAAAAATAAAAGAATCATATGGTGATATATGGATAACGGACTGTATCATCTTCAAAGAAAAATACGTGTTCATAAACCGGAATAGCGGTTTAGTTGTCAGAGAGGTTGACGAAAATCATGACAGAATTATCACACTTTCCGGAAATGCGAATGGAATGTCGGCCATAGATGGCGATACTGTTGCTGTGACGTTTCCGAATGGACATTACATTGAGATTATTTGTGTTGCAACGGGAGAGGTAAAAAATAAAATTGAAGTTGATGGAATGTGTTTCCAAGTAGCTTATCACAATGGACTTCTATATGTAGGATTTGATGAAAAGATAGAAGAAATTGACTTAACAGGAAAGACAGTAAGACGTGTCCCCAGTCCGACAGCAGATATCGGGTACATAGCAACCACTGACGACAAACTATTTGTCACCGATTTAGAGAAAAATCTATTATATTGTTGTGATTTTACAGGATTAGTACTGTGGGAGTTCGAGGACAAAAAACTGGAATGGCCCATGGGTGTTACAACCGACAATGATGGCAATGTATACGTAGTTGGTAGTTCTTCTCACAACGTCTTAGTTATCTCCCCTGATGGAAAGCATCACAGAGAACTTCTCAATAAATCCAATGGACTGAAAGATCCAATCGGAATACATTACGACAAAACGAATAATTGTCTACTAGTGTGTAATAAAGAAAGCGGTGATGCTTTCTTGCTTGAAATTGAAAATGTATATTAAGATAATTAAACATCTGTAAGTGTTTAGGAAAAACTTTGAAGGTGGTAAAATTCCTGTATATATGTTAAAGATAAGAACCGAATAAAGGGATTGACTGTTAACAAATAAACCATAAACAAAAAAAATAATGATGTTTAACATATGATCACAATGCCGCTTTTGCAGGAAAAGATTGATTGATTGTTGGTTGGTTGCTTAACGTCCAGTTGCAGGAAAAGAGATGTTCCGTTAAATTTGTTATAAAACAGTTGTTTTATCAGCTACAGGTGTTCTGATAGTTATATGCAAGAACGAATGGTTGAGGTAGGGACAATTTCCCCTGAAATTATTTCACGTGAACCAGTCCAAATATTGAGTATATATAAATTATCTATTATCAACAAATTATTCTAGAGGTGGCGTGAATCGGCCGGATGTGGATACTAAAAAATTCCAAATATCTTTTAGAGTACATACAATCTAAGACTCTTTCATCTTGCCACAGTATTAAAACATTTGACTTTTCTACACTTTACACAAGTATTTCCCATTCCAAACTAAAAGACAAATTGAAAGAGTTGGTATTGCTTTGTTTCATAAAAAAGAATGGCCAACGTAGATACAAGTATCTTGTCTTAGGGAGGGATAAATCCTACTTTGTAAAAAATCACTCTGATTTAAACAAAAAATTCTCTGATGAAACTGAGATGCTTGATTTCTTGATTGACAACGTATTTGTTACGTTTGGAGGACGTGTTTTTCAACAAACTATAGGCATTCCCATGGGAACCAACTGTGCCCCTCTTCTTGCCGACTTGTTCCTTTATTCTTATGAGGCTGACTTCATACAGAAACTTCTTAGCAAGAAAGAAAAGAAGTAAGCAGTATCCTTAGACTTTACTTTCCGCTATAAAGATGATGTCCTCTCACTAAATAATTCAAAATTTGGTGACTATGTTGACCGCATCTATCCCATCGAACTAGAGATAAAGGATACAACAGATACAGTTAAGTCTGCTTCATATCTTGACTTACATCTAGGAATTGACAATGAGGGTCGGTTGAAAACAAAACTTTACGACAAAAGAGATGATTTCAGCTTTCCAATTGTGAACTTTCCATTTCTATGTAGCAACATTCCCGCAGCGCCTGTATACGGAGTATATATCTCCCAATTGATACTATATTTCCGGGCTTGTATTTCATATCATGATTTCCTTGATAGAGGGTTGCTGCTCACAAGGAAACTATTAAACCAAGAGTTCCAAATGGTGAAGTTGAAATCATCCCTTCGTAAATTTTACGGACTCCATCACGAGTTGGTAGACCGTTATGGAATATCCGCTTCACAGATGATAGCGGATATGTTCCTAATGTCGTAACTACAATCCCGTTCCCTTTTCACGAATGATATCTACCGAATAAGACTATTTACCGGGTTTGTACTAACATGAGCAATACGACGGGTGCCACATGTGGAGCAGGATCTGCTTACCCGTCCGGAGCACCTGAGATCACCCCCAGTTTTTGGTTGGGTTTGTGTTGCTTAGTCTTTAGTTTTCTATGTTGTGTTTTGTGTACTATTGTTTGTCTGTTTGTCTTTTTCTTTTTTAGCCATGGCGTTGTCAGTTTATTTTCTATTTATGAGTTTGAATGTCCCTCTGGTATCTTTCGCCCCTCTTTTATCACAAAAAATTATTAAGGACATCCTAACCAAGAACTCTTACTTATTGCTTCATCTCTGCAAAAAGACAATTTCTCACAAAACAACACGAATAGTCCCAAATTCTTAATCACAATAAAAACTACAGAAAAGTCGTCCTGTAGAAATTATTTTATTTTCCACAGCAATTGCTATTATCTACGAAAGCCGAGAAGGATCATTCAAAATTCAAAATTCAAAATTCAAAATTCAAAATTCATAATTCATAATTCAAAATTCAAAATTCAAAACTCAAAAATCCTACATTAATCTATCATGTTTCCCCTTTCTTACGAAAGCCAACAAAGATTGCACCTTAATATACTACTGAAAGTTATGTTATAAAGTTTGTTAAGAACACGAACTCATTAAAACAAGGCAAAGGGTCCGTAAAACCTTTATAGGAATACATCTAACTTTACCATTTGAAACCCTTGGTAACACAGCGTCCTTGCAAGTAACAACCCTCTTTAACAACCCTCTTTAAGGAAACCCACGCCTTATACTTTCGTATCGTATCGTATATATATTCTATGAGCAGACACAGCTGGAATGTCGCTTCACTATAATGGAACGTTCACAATGGAAAATTGAAATTATCGCTTTTCTGTCAACCGACCCTTGTTGTCAATTTCTGAATGTTCTGACTTTACTGTACCTGTGGTATCTTTATTTCAGACTCATTGAATCAGATTTAAGTAACCTAAGTCGACGATTGCTGGGTCACTCATCTATGTAGCGAATCAGAACTCAACTTTAGATAAATCCCAGATATTTTCATTTTAATTGAGAAGCTCTTGTTTAAAGTCTGTCTCATAATAATATAGAAACGTCTCTTATTATTTTTCTTTTTGATTGATGTATAACAATATGGTCATTCCTTGGTCTTCTTTCGATTGGCAGTAAAACGGTTGTCAAATCAAGTCTTTTTGCTGTGCGGGACGCATAAATTTGCAGTCACGACCGGTCATATTGGGAACGTTTAATCCGATGATTCGTGTAGAGAGAATGCCACGATCTCTGCACGCTAAGAACCTTGCAACAACTTTTAAGGGGATTTGTTGCAAGGCCAAATTTCTGTTCTACCCAATATATCCTTTTTTCCAGTGGCATTCCATCCTGGTCGACAGCCTATTACACAACGTACCTTTTGTATTAATTGTTATTTTTCTCTCGTCACAAATATGCTTGAAATATTTGCCACTGGAGGTTAAGCAAACAACAACCAATCTCTTATTATAACCCGGTTTTCAAAAGGAAGAATCTAGTTATTAAAATATGTATGACTTTGTATATACAACAGACAGTTTTTGTGAATCCTTTATCAAATTTTTATAATTTTATGTGTTTATATAAAAAAAAAAACGAGTTAAGTGTTTGACGATTTTCATTTATGTTGTTTAAGAGTCATGGTCGATGATTGAACGAAAGATGACACTTTTGTCTTTAACTTGTGTACTAAATTCAATTTATACATTCAGAAAAGATATACTGTAACATACATTATTTGTCATGTTGTATATTTCATGTATGTTGTAACACATGAATTACGCAATGTCATATTTAACATATGTGCCTTAACCAACAAAATATTTGAAATTGAATATGAATACCGGTATATAGTTAATTTTTATATAAAATCGAATGAAGTCTTGGGATCGCTCAGAATCGCTGGATATTATAGAAAAGTCCAAACAAAGCACAAAATTCATTTTTAATAGTTTCATAAAACTGTCACAAGTACAAACTTTTCTAAAAAATAGATGCAAACAATAAACACTAAATATATACGTTCTATAGACCAGGACACTCGATTCTTGGCCTAAATTTATCTGAGAATGCAGATCAGTAGCTCATACGTCGCCAATAAGATGGCAAGTGAGTTGCGTCGATATGATGAACTAGAATTGTTATCCTAAATATAGGATGTACGAGAAAAAAATGCACAAAAAGCAGCAATAATAGATTGTAATAAAGTTTGTATTCCTCCCTTCTAGACACTCGTATCCACAAATACTTAAGGGGTCAAGAACAGGGTTACCAAACAATAAAATTTAAAAAAAACATGAATACACCTATATTACAATAACCAAGTGCGTTTAAAACTACTTGATTATGTATTTTATTTACAATAGTTTACATATATAAGATATAAAGGTAATGTTGAACACACGAAAGTTAAAAATCGTTCTCTCGGTCACCAAGATTACCGCAACCATTACCGATGAGGCAAATCTTATTACCATGGTGATACGGTCTGATTAGTCAGAGGCTGGACGTCTGGAATGTGGTTAATCTGTTAACGGTATCTCATTGGTTATAAATAACATTAAATGGCTGCATCTCAGCTGCTTCCGGGCTGCTTCTGTGGGAAGTGAAGGATATTTTAACGTCTGATTGGCTATTATTGAGTTGTATGCATTATATGTCAACGCGTCCGTAAGTGGGGTCGGATAAAAATCATGATAATAGGTCATCGGTAGAAACTATAATGAAGTGTTCAATTGCTATCATAATTTAAGCCAAATTTAGTTCACGAAGCCCTGTCAATTTGAGCAAATCATATCATTCTGTGATGATGAAATTTATGTTATCTTGAAATTTTGTTGCAATTTTGGTACAAAGGTGTGTATTTATGGATTATTAATGTTCTTTCAAAAACAAAACAATAATACATCTAATCTTCACTTTATAGTGCGTATTGAAACATATTTTGCTATATTTCTTCATAAACTATAATTTTAAATAGTAAATACACAAAACGTGTGCTCTATGATTAAAAATATTATCCTCATATTTTTCATTGCTTGAACATATTGTTTAGAAAATATTCAAATCACGGAATTTACCGTATTGATACGAAGATTTCGTTTCCCCGCGCATTCACCGCTTCATTGATTTCTGATGTAAACAAAACAGACAATTGCCGATGAACAGCTGATTAGAAGAATAGAAAACAAACAAGTCAGGGCTCGACAATAACGCTTGTCCGATTGTCCGGTACCAGAGGAAAAAAAGGTCGGACAAGTAAAAGCTAGATCAAGGTTGTCCGACGGGACAAGTAAAATCATTTTGTAGAAAATAAATTAAATCCAACTTTGATGAACAAAGTATTGAGTAATAAACAAAAAACAAGAAAAGATAGAAACAAATATTAATTTGACATGTTTACCATGTTTACTTGCAGTCGATAATTTAAAACTGGTTCTTTGACAGATACTTTATAACAGATAAAACGCGTAATATTCTCGGAAACCAGTATTAGATGAAATCAAGAATGCGCTTTGTAGATAAGGTAACAAGACAGTTCGGCACCAGCACGGAAACCAATCCTTCCATGTTTAATAGACAGTATGGCACCGTAGGAGACATTTCATACCAAGCCAACCAGTACCTCATTTCCCTACCTTTTTCTGTTGCTTATAATAAATATGATAAATTTTATTTAACAAAAATATTTTTTAAAATAAAAAATGAAGAAATTATTGACCATAAAATTCACAATTTTAATATTTGATCACATGTAGACAAAACAATACTAAAGTACTTGATTGCGTTTGAATAAACATTTTAATATATT